ATAGCTGATTGTTGGATGACTACTGAAATGCATACATTTCTTGATTCCTCATTTAGAAAGAAACAAAATCAATGTTGAATAGAGCCACTTGAACCTTATTATAGCAAAGGAAGTTTTGCAATGCTGGAAAGAGTGAATGTTGGAGATCTGTTACTTCCAAGTCTTTTTAACCATGAATGTATAAATCCGGTCCGGCATATCAGTCAACTTTCGGTCGGGAAACAAACGGGGCGATAAACCGGTTATTCTTTAGTCAGCATGATCAAGATCTTAGAAATCATTTTAGATGGTAGAATGATAAAAGATCATGCTAGAAATAGTGAATGTTGTCTTTAACCACGTATACCCGGTTTAGTATGTTAGTCAACTTTCCGGAAACAACCGTCATAAACCGGATTTTGATTATCGGATTAAAAAAAAATTGATTGCTTTGACGGTTTCCAGAAATTTCAGTTTTCATCATCAATCTTTTTCCGTTTTATTTTTGAATCTGGTTGTTATCAAGTCTTTTTAAGTTTAATTTTTGAGATACATAATAGAGAAGAAGCATAATTAGAAATAGTTTTTGATGAATTGTTATATGTATACTAGTGTTTTAAGGTCATAGGGTTTGCTAAGGTCTCAAGCCTATTATTGCTCCAGTTGATTTTTATCATCAGAGCTACTGAGCTTTGCAACTGCTAAGATTCAAGCCTATTACAAATTTGAATGGACTTTATAATGTACAGTTTTGAAGGTACATTAATTAGGTTTGTTGATTTTTTCAATTGCATAAGTAGATGGCTGATTTAGACAAACGTAAAAGTATGAGGCCTAAAAGAAGAAATAACGTAAATAAGAAATAAATACTATTCCATTATTAGATATATCTTCGTAAATTTACTAAGAACCGTTTCCTTCTTCTACAGCAAGAAAAGTTCAACCAAATGGGAATCAGCGGCGTCTGCGGCGGCGCAGAGGAGCTGGAGATTTTCGGAAAAGCTGATACGGTTACCGTAACCAATAAACCACATATGGCTCCGTCAATTTCTTCGTCCTCCACATCATCATCTGAGTCAGTAATTGATCCGGTGAAGATGAGTTATGGAATGAACGGTGAGGAGGAGGGAGAGTTTGAATGGGTGGCTGTAGATAAAGAGATTGATCTTATTACGGATGAAGCTCCGGAACTTGACGACGCTTTCTCTGCACTTCAGTTGTGAGTTTTCCAAAGTCGTTTTTGCGAGAATTTGAAAGCCAAAAAAGGCTTTCTTATTGAAAGAACTCATCGTTTATCTTTTAGGATGTTCAATGATGATGAAGAAGAATCAGGAGACCAAGTTTCAGAGTCGGAGTTTGTGGATTGGATTGAGCCTCCTTTGCAGCTCTGCAATACTAGACTTCTACAGCCTTATATGCTTGACAGACTCTACGACGCCTTTCATGTGTTTCAGACCGATCCATCTGTTCAGGTTCTCTGTTTTCTCGCTGTAATGAGGTCCATGGTTTGAGAATCATATAACTGATGCAGACATTGGTGTCTAATGTTGCAGAGAATGGTTATGTCCTTGACTTCAGACAAGGCTGTTTGGGATGCGGTGATGAGTAATGAGGTTGTCCGGGAGCTCATAAGTAACGGTAAGAATGAATATAAGATACAAATGGGCTATGGTAATAACCGATGATTATGTAAGAGTTTTCCTTGATGTATAATGCAGCTGAGAGGTCAGAAGAAGACTCTGGTTCAGCCGCAAATTGCTTGAGAAGGTTTTTTGAAAGAAGTGCCGTCAAAATCATGGACGCAATGGAGAGAGTCACAAAGTACGTCACTGACCTCTTCAATGTTGTTCCTGGAGATGAGACTGTTGTGTTAGCCTCAGGTGCTGCGCCTGTGATGGAGAAGCTTCAGATGACTGTTCTGCTCTCCATTGTTGTCCTGCTTATCGTGTTAGTTAAACGAGTAACGAGAGGTAGATAGTACAAAATACCCAGCCAAACTATGATCTCACATTTCAGGGTCTGCTTTACAATTGTAATTGTGACCTCTGCGGCTGAAATCGCAGCAGAAAAACTGTAATACTTGTGCTTACTACTGTGTAATAAGAATATAGTGATTGAAATCACTATATATATATATGACATTTCAAACATTAAGCCCAACTTCTCCAAAGCAAGAGTGTACCAAACACACTAAATCACATTCTGTTTTTTGAACTACAACGAATCAGTTTTGATCAAATACCCGTTTTCCGAGTATCATCACAAATTAGTATTCATCAGCGTAAACTTTAGATAAACGAGTGATTAAACCACAACACCTTAAAGTTTCTTTTGGAGAGAAATGAAAGTGAGGACTCTAATTTATGTACAGTGCAGAGCCATCCAGCCATCCATGAGACCAGTGATTGCTTCCAGGATTCACGAGCACATACTTGTATAAATCTGGTAAAACACCAAAAGCAAAAGTGTCTCCAAGTTTACGATAAAAGCTTTTACCAATTAATTGTGTATATGGAAATAATAGACAGTGAGAAGGGGATCTCACCTGGTATTAGGTGCTTGAGCTACCGAGATCAAAGTCCATCGTGTAATCATACTCAATTGTTGGAATAACTGATGCCATGAACTTCAAGAACAGGAAGAGGTACCTGGCAAAATAGCAATGGTGTAACCAGCAAGCCCAATGATAAGCATTATTTGCAATAAAAACACATACTTGTCAACTTCAGGTTCTACTCCACGCGACATTAACACATCAATGATTTTCTTCATAACAGCTCCATGCCGACAGGGATGAACTGAAGCATGTTTACCAGGCAAGTGTGGATGATCTTCGATTGTGACCTGTGCATTTTTTAAAGAGGATCACAAAAATATTCTGCATTGGTCAGATTAAGAAGACATAAGTCGGAAAACTTTGGTGGAATAACAAAAAGTCATTTAATGCAGTTGAGATCGTCTTCTTTTTACCGTTTTACGAGCATGGTCTTGGCTAACATCCTCCATTACAAGTTCAGGTTGCAGCAGCATCCTTGACTACAAGATACATCATAGCTTCTAAGTTAGATAACAGGAAATATAAACGCACTACAAAACTCCAAGAATTTTAGGATGAAAAAAAACAAAAAAGTAACAAATATGAACGAGATGCAAACCTCATCATAACCGGTCAGCCAAACACGAGGAGTTTGGTAATACTTATCATACCTGAACCAAAGTGAAGAATTATACGTTTGCCTACTACTAAGCCAAAAGTATGAAAGCTGTAACTAAAAGTCAAAATGCAGTACTAAAATATGAAAGAAACGCAGGATGCTTACGTTATGCTGAGATCATATGTCCGAGTTCGGAGAATGTTATCGTCATCAGGTTCATGAGCCACAAGATAAGTTGACTGAAGAGTTGCCTGAGTCAAGGAAGAATAAAAAGTTTAAAACTACTGGTAGAACCAAAAACTGGGAAAAATGGAAATATGCTTCAAAGGCAAAATACACACACAGCCAAATCATAACCCTTTAAAAACTTTTGCAATTTCCTAGGAACTTGCAAATTCATGTGCATAATTCAGAAGCATTTTTCAAAGAGCAATAACAAAAAGCTGAGTGCAACTGCAAAGAAAAATGGGATAGTGAGAGAGTAAGAAAAAAAAACACTCACCGGGTCATTTTCTACCACATTGTCAGCCTCATCAAACTCCTCCATGTCTGGAATATCATCATCCTCCTCACCTCCAAAATACGTAGGTATTGATTGGATAGTATTTTTCTCGTTTATGTCCAAGGCATCCATGGATGGTAAGTTTTCATCTTCGTTGCCTTTATCTATGGCAAAAATCAAGACACAAGTTGAATAAGAGAAAAGTGAGTTTCAGAGGCACAAATCTCTCAATACAAAATGTACCTTTCGGTTTCCCATGTGTCGCCAGCCAACCATCATTATCTTCATCATCAACCAACACTTCACCTCCAGCAGCTTCATAATCCTCTGCCACAGATGCAGCTCTCCGTAGACAAGGTACTGTCAACCCGTAAAAATTCCACAACATAATGTGAAATAAGAACTACAAAGCCAACAGAAATCAGCTCTAAAGATTCTAAATTTACCATTTCTAGTAATCAAAAACTGTTTGTCCGAGGGCAAGTATGGCTTCCTTTTGCTTGGGTCACCAGATTCCCTAATCAAAAGTAAAAGCCATTGTGTCAATCTTACCCATTCAAGCATGCTTGAACTAGAAGGCATATACAAAAGCGTAAAGACCAATATGTTATAGACATAAAGTTTTGAGCAGTAAGATATAAAAGTTTAATATACATCGCTACCCAGGAAAACTTATTGGTCCAATAAACTAATCAAACATCAGAAAAAAACTACTGAAAAAAAAACAACATCCAAGGAAGTTGTAACCAGAAAAGCCACAATTTGATTGATCCCATCAAAATCTCACATAATTTGTATAAAAGTCAATAAATTTTCGCCAACACAGAGAGACCCATTGACGCATATTCCTCAGGGATCAATTTCACATATCATGGATCACAAAATTCACAAACTCAAAATTGTACAATTGGCCACTATGTATTCAAATTCTCCAATAAAAACTCGAAATTGAAACTAACCAGGACCAGGTAGGACACTTGGAGACGAGATTATCTCCGGCGAGTACGAACTCGCTGACGCTGAGAACTCCCTTCTCCTTGAACGCCGAGATCGTACGAGGACCTGTGATCCTCTCAACTGTTCCTTTAAATGCTTCATGAAGCTTTTGTGAAAGCACCATCTTTTGAGCTAGCGATGAATTAGGATCTAATCAATGGTTTATATCGAGGAAGGATTTATCGTATCGGCGAAAATTCTAATCGGAGATGAGATTCGATTGCGGACCCTAATCCCTAAGCAGATTTATAGATTCCGTCAAATTTGAGGAGATGATATGCCTCTTTGTAATATTTTGAGAAATATCTCGAATAGTCCTCAGACTTGTGCATATTTACGTTTTTACCCCATATTTGTTTCATGGCCCCTTTTCTCAAAGATAATTGTATTCTCATATTGTCTGTCATTCAGGTCCAGGACCAGAAGGTACATTTTTAATATCTTTCCATCACAAAGGAATCTCATTGCCCTTATTGAAAGAGATACTAACATCATTGTATATGTTTTCACGGCAAGAGCACCACGGAGCCAGAGGTGATCCTATTCTCAAGATCTGCATGGGCATCAGCGACTCGAGACAACGGGTACTTGTGATTCACACGAGCCTTTAAGATGCCGGATGTTATATTGGCGAAAACCTCTCCTGCACATTCCAAGAGCTCGTCCCGAGTTTCATTGTATTGCATCATGGAAGGTCTTGTCAAGAAGAGAGATTTTGGAGCAAGGTCAGATAATGGAATAGGATCTGGAGATCCCGAGGATTGCCCAAAGCTCACCATGTATCCCCGGCTTTTTAAACATGCTAATGATCCCTGGAAATTTATAAAAATTTTACAATGAGAAATCCAAAAAAACTTGATATAGAACATAAACAGTAAACAGTCTGGCTCTTTGTGACATTTACCTTAAAGGTGTCTTTTCCCACAGAGTCATAAACAACATTAACTCCTTTACCCGATGTAATGTCGTTGACCCGGGAAACGAAATTCTCGTTCTTGTACATAATAACATGGTGACATCCATCTTCTTTGGCTTGAGCCGCTTTCTCATTGGTCGAGACAGTTCCAATGACAGTGGCTCCGAGCGCATTTGCCCATTGACACAACAGAGAACCAACTCCACCAGCTGCAGCATGAACAAGGATTGTGTGCCCACGTTCGACCTTTCCAGAAACAAATAGGACTTGAGTCATATAGTGAAGAGATCTTTGAAACACAATCTATATAATAAAACTCTACTCTGTTCAACGGGGAAGAAGACACAAATCTGGCTTTTGGTCTTCTGCCTATAACTACGAAATTTATAACGTTTCATAGAAGCAGGTAAGATGAAAACTAACCTTCGAGCAACGGCGAAGGAGAAACTGTGCAGTCATACCCTTGAGCATGATTGATGCTGCAAGGATAGGATCAATAGAAGAAGGAACAGGAACCACTTTATCCGCTGGAAGGATTTGTTCCTCAGCATACGCACCCATCGGATTTCCAGCGTAAGCAACGAGATCACCGATCATTCTGCCAGTCAATCCCGACCCAACAGCTACCACCTCTCCAACAGCCTCCATACCTATGATCAGAAATGGCACATTAGTTCAGAAAAAAATTCCCTCTCTCTCATTGGGTTCTAGTAATGTCCAAACCTGGTGTGAAGGGCATTGAAGCTGGCTTGTAAACACCTTTCCTGAAGTAAACATCAATGAAGTTAAGCCCGATCGCCTTATTCTTCACTCGTATCTCACCCTCCTTTGGTTCCCCAACTTCCACATCTTCCCATTTCAGAACCTTCCAATCAAAGAAACAAGACCGCTATAAAATACTGAAAAATACAAATCAAAGAGAATGCGAGAAACGATCACAAGTAGGCCTAATCACAAGTTTCTAAATCAAAGATACCATAAAATATTTTCATAGCAGTGTACCTACACAATCCTGAATTTTACAAGTAACCAAAACTACGTTTGAAATACACATAAGTGATCCAGTAAATAACCATCAATTTCGACTCGAGCTCAAATCCAAAACCTTTCACCTGGAAACTACCCATTGCAAAAAGCTGAAGCTTATAGGTAATCTCAATCATTTGAATTCTAATATCATAGAAGCATATACAGAGAGACACACACACAGTCGCAGTCTAATTTGATTTCAATGACCCAAATCCGACCTGGACCTTCAAAATCGAAACTTTACTAACCTCAGGACCGCCATGCTCGTAAACCCTAATCCCTTTCACCATCTTCTTCTTCTCCGGCGACTCTTCCACCACGACTGTTGTACTCAGAGCTCTTACAGCAAACACAGTGCCGCGTGTAGACAAAGAAAAACTCGAGAAATCGGTAGGATTTAGACGAAAGTTGAGATCTTTGACATGATTCCGTGGAAAGCTCGAGAATACTGGGTGATATAGACGACGTGACAGATGTCCAGACGCTTGAAGACACGAGTGATGATGATGAAGAGTCAATGCTGCCATTTTCTTTATGGCCCCCATCTTCTCCTCTGCCTCCAAACTTTATTTGCTTTTTCCCGTCGTAGTCCTTAAACTTTCGCTATATTACATTATCACTACCCTAGTTTTACTATATTTATCAATTTTTGCTTTAGACTTTCTCCAACATAAGTAAAAAAAAGGAAGCTACACAGACGTGATTTTGGTTTTCTAAGGGATTTCATAAAAAAAAAAAAATACTAAGGAGGGGTTATTGGTTCATGGATTTATAAGAAATTAGAAATCCAAACAAAAATCATTTGTTTTTCAATCATTGATTTTAAAATCCTAATTAAAATCTTGTGTTATTGGTTCTATGATTTATAAATACTAGTTAAATTTCTATATTATTCGTTTAGTCATTTGTTTTTGGATTTGAGAATCCAAATTATGTTTTAAATAGATTTTTATGGAATTGAAAGAGAAAAATAGAAGGATTCAAATCCACCACAATAAAATAAAAATAGAACCCAACAAAAACTCTCTCAGGCACGAAGACCAAGAAGACCCAAGCTCAACGAAATGAGCCCTTTCCACCGACGTTCCTCCACCGGCAGCCTCCACTTGTGAGCGAACTTTGCTTATAAGGTTAGATCTCTCAGGTGGACCTCTTTTCCGGTGACGTGGCGGTTTTTCCGGCGAGTTTACTACCTGAGATGACTACCTTCTCTCTCCCGATGTCGAGCCTCTCTCGTTGCGTACCGATGTCTTCGGGTTCTTTCTCTAGTCTGAGATCTCCTTCAGCACCACCATCGGAGCCTCCGTCCCCACCAACTCCGCCTGAACCACCGGATCCGCCGGATCTTCAGATCTGCCTCTCATCCGGTGATGCTCTTGTTCAGCTGCTTCTCCTTCAACATCCCACCGGTCTTCAACGAAGTCACATCGGTTCCGAGCGCCCATCTCCGCTGCCCTCGAGAACTGCTCCACCTTGCCGGAAGAATGCTCCTCTGTCCATCACCGTACTTGCTCGCCGCCGTCACTTGCTCCTCTCTCCACATTTCTCAAACATGAACCTAGGGTTTCACTATTTGGGCCAAATTTGGGATAATTTTCTATTGGGCCATGGTTGCTTATTGGGCCAAAAGAGTGGGGTTTTCTTATTGGGCCTTACTTTCCCAAGACTCAGCCCACCTTTTTCCTTTTATCGTGTCTTCTCTTGTCTCGTCTCCCTACTCTGCTGCAAGCCATCTCAATCTCATAATCTCGTCGTCGCCATCAACTTACCTCCTCAGAAGTTTCCCCAGGTATGCTCTTACTCTTCACCCTCTAATTCTTCTCAGATTGGAAGGGTTTGGATGTTGGTAGAGTTTGTGGCTCTTGTTTTGTGGAATTTTGATATAGCTCATTCGTCTTCGATGAGCTTGGATACTTTTGTGTCTACATTTGTGCTCTCTTGTAGCACCTTTATCGTTTTGATGCGATCATTTACCGCAGTATGCGGATTCTGGCTCGATTTGGCTATGTTAAAAGTTGTCTCGTCGCAACTTGGACAAAGTTCTCTGAGTTTAGAAAACCGACCAGGTTTCCTGGTTCATTGGGGCTATCATAGCCCTCATCTCTCCTTTATGGAGTTTATTATCTTTCCAACGACCTCACTTGTATTTAGTGATAGTGTTACAGGAAGCATTGAGTGCAAGACTGTTCTGCTTGAAGTAGAAGCGAGAAATCTACTGGTGTTTGGAAACCGTGCTTTTTCTGAGGAGGACACTGCTTTGAAAGCCATAACTGCGGCAAAGGAATGGCAGGAGGCAAACCTTGCAGTCCATGGCCAATCGCGGAACAGAGCACAAGCTGTACCTCTTATTGAGGATATACCAACTCCACTACCTCACTCAGAGGATCCTTCTCTCATTTTACCTCTTATTGAGGCTCTTTCTCTCAATTTACCTCTTATTGAGGCTCCTTTTCACAGAATTCCTCGCGATGAGGTTTTTTCTTGCTACACGGATGCAGCTTGGATCGCATCCTCTGGCTCCTGCGGTATGGGATGGATTTTCAAGACTCAAGATCATCGAGTTATCCATCAGGGCTCGGCAACTCGCCTCCATACACCATCGGCTCTAGCTGCTGAAGCTTTGGCCTTGAGATCAGCGCTGATCGCAGCGTCTAGAATGGAATTCACCTCCATCAAAGTTTTTTCGGACTCGCAAGTCCTCATATCTCTGCTAAATACAGAGACCTCTACGAACGAGCTTCCAAGGGATTCTCCATGACATTGCCTTCTTTAGTCGTTCGCTATCATCTATCAAGTTTCCTTTTGTTCCACGCAAGTCTAATATGTTAGCTGATGCATTGGCAAAGGCTGCCTTATCTTCTTTACCTGTTTTAACTACTTCTGCTTTGTAAGAATCGTCTATTTATCTATAAAACCAGTTTGACCAAAAAAAAAAAGAAGGATTCAAATCCATGGGTAAACACATGTTATTTCAAAATCCATATATCTTGATTTCATAATTAATAGAGATTTCCAAAAATTCTATATGGATTTACAAATTAATAAACCAATAACACCCCCTAAATTTATGTGATGATTTATGGAAGCTAACCGGATTTTGGATCCTATCATTTCATAGTTATTTGGTTATTAGCGATTCTACAAATTTAATTTGTTTTCCTATCATTACGTAGATTTAGCATTCAAATTCTTAAAATTGTTTTTAAAAATAATAATTTTTTTCTTCGGGCTTTAAAATGTTTTCTTAAAAAAATATATACTAATTTGACATTATGATTCATGAAAACTAATCGGATTTTGGATCCTGTCATTTTACCTAGTCATATCATTAGAGATTCCACAAATTCAATTTGTTTTCGTATCATTATGTAAATTTAGCATTCGAGTTCTTAAAATTATTTTTAAAATAATGATTTTTTTCTTCAGGTTTTAAAAAGCCTTTGTCTTGTTTAGAAAAAAACCGAATTTACATGATGATACATGAAAACTAACCGGATTTTGGATCCTGTCATTTGATATAGTATCATTAGAGATTCCAAAAATTCAATTTGTTTTCACATCATTAAGTAGATTTAGTATTTTGAAGGCTAAAGTGTCGATTTAGCAATTCAATCAATGCTCGTTTTTAGTTCTTTCAACGGCTAAGAAGACCCAAGTATGGTGGTTTCTTGGATATCACGCTTGCTCGTCATTCTCCTCCAAAACCAATGCTTCTCCCAAAGTCCAGCCACCTTCTCAATCGGAACATTCTTAGTCTCCGGCAAAAACAGCTGCACCGCCACCGTCATCACCACTAACCACCCTCCATAAAAGAAGAAAATCCCAGCTCGAAACTTACACAACATCGGTGGTGCACTTTGAGCCACCGCAAAAGTAAACACAAAACTCACTGCTACCGTCACACTCTGCGCCGCCGATCTTACATCCAATGGAAAAATTTCACTCGGTACGAGCCATCCTAATGGACCCCACGACCAACCAAACCCCGCCACGTAGACACACACCAAAACCACAACCGCGTAACCATACCCCTCCTTGATCACACCGTCGTTTACGTCGGCCACCATAATAATCATACCGATGGTAACTTGCGACACAAGCATCTGTAACCCTCCAATCAAAAACAGAGTCTTTCTACCAATTCTGTCTACAACAAGCATAGACAAGAACGTCGACGTGGTTCCCACGATTCCGGTCACGAGCGTGGACATCAACGAACCACTCTCTCCAAACCCAACGGTTCTATACAAAACCGGTGCATAGAAAGCAGCAACATTGATTCCAGTAACTTGCTGAAAGAAAGGTATCGCCAAAGCCATCACTAACTCAGGCCTATATTTTCTTTGAAGCAGTTTCACAAAGGCGTTTGAATCTGTATCAGAACCAGAACTCGCTTCAACGAGATCAGTAAGCTCATCTTGAACGTCGTTTGTTCCACGGACACGGCGAAGCATAAGCTCGGTCTTGTGAACATCTCCGGTGGTCTGGATGATACTGTTTGGCGTTTCCGGGAGAAATAGTGAGCCTAAAGTGAGTATTGAAGCCGGAATTGCGGCTGTGGCTAAAGAGATTCTCCAACCATGTTTGATCTTTTGGGTTTCGTAGTTGATTACATTTGCAGATAGAAATCCAATTCCGATGCAGAGCTGGAAACCATTGCTTATTGCTCCTCTATATTTTGCCGGCGCCATCTCTGAGAGATACAGAGGAACCGACTGTAAAAGAACACAAACCAGTCCTGAAAAACGTTTCTTTAACAATTTGACCCCTAAACTCTTGTTTCTAAACTGAATCATCATAAACCAACTTGTCTTTTGTTACCTGGTTAGCGAATCCAACTCCTACGCCGAGCAAGAGACGAGCAATGATGAGCATAGCAACGTTTTGAGCAGAGCCACCAAGAGCAGCGCCGACGAGAAAGGCCACGCCACCGAGAAATATAGAGGGCTTGCGACCCCAAGAACGAGTCACGGAGGAAGCCAGCAGAGTAGCGATGAAGCCAGAAACGTATAGAGAAGATGTGAAAGACGTAAGAAGTTGGCTATTGAAAAGACAATAATGGTTATGAATGTTTCTTCTTCTTCTATCTTCTTCTTGGAGCTTATACACTTTTGGGAAAAATCTTTTCAGAAATGGCCCCATTGACATTACTCCACCTACATGTATCATTAATACATGGTTTGCAAGTTAAATTTTATTAGAAATGAAATGTTTCTACTTCAAATATGTGTTTTTTTCTTCTTGTAAACACAAACATAACACAAAACTTGGGTTCGAAAATAGTGGTTATGTATCAAACCTGAAACCCCGATGTCGTAGCCAAATAGGACACCTCCCATGGCGGCCATGACACATGATGCCACCACAAAATACGTTATCTTCCCGCCAGATTCTGATTTAGCCATCGCTTCTTTTCTTGCTTCTTCTTCTTCTACCATGTTTACCTATAGAGGCACTCCAAACACAACGGAAGTAAATAAAATTCAAGTTCGCTTGGTGTTTTTAGATCATCTATTTTTGTATATCAATCACTCAAAGGTTGAGTTTCAAGATAGACAAAACTTGTTGGACCATTGGAGTGATTTAATTGACTTGAGTGTGGGACTTATAGTTTTTGTTTGTTTTGGTTTTGGCTGATGAGATATCGAAAGTGGACGATAAAAGACATGTGAAGAAAGACTTTTCTATCGCGTAGACAAGTCAATAGTTCTAATTTTCCCTTTGCCTACCTTCTTCATAATACTTTTTATTTTCTTTCTTGTTTTATCGCATAGAAGAAAGAGATGGGTTATCTTTATCAAATTGGATGATAAAGCTCTTACAATGAGATTGGACCTACCAAGTTGCAAACTTTGACTGTTTAATTCCATGATAGTGATACTGTATTGTGTTTTGGAGTTTGACTATGTAGAACATCTATCATTAAGTTGGCGGATTAATTATTAATTAGTATTTACTATCAATCATGTAAATTTTGGGCTTTTGATTTTCTTTTATTCTGAAGATTTAATTTTTGTTTCACTACATGGCCTAAAAACTTAAAAACTAAGGGGATAAGCTGACAAATTAGAAAGCTTGAGTCACAATCGAATAAACATTCTCTGCTCCAGGGGAAATTAAAAAGAAGATGAAGGAGAAGTAAATAATTTCAAGTCATGGGTTAAAAAAAGAAAAACATAATACACGTGGCACCAACAGAGCATTTGTTACCGTCACCCGCCTGTGACGGAGAGAATCTCCGTAATTTGCAAAGGAGAAGACTTTCCTATTGAAAATTCAAAGCCAAATTTTTTTTTCCTAAACAGCAATAAAAAAAAAAATCTCTGCTCCAGGAGAAATTAAAAAGGTAGAACCTTTCTTCTCCTGGAGCGATCAATTCCTTTTTCATCATATTGCTGACTCTTTTCGTCGTCTTTGATCGTATCGAAGAATTGGGTTTAGTTCGATTCGATCATCAGCTATCTCAAATTTTGTGGGGGATTTTTCTAAAGGTTTGATGATTGGATTGCTTTGTTCTTTTTGATTTTCGTTTGATTGATTAGAGATTATAGGTTAGGGTTTGTGTTCCTTAAAAGTCTTTTGGCAGTTTAAGACTTGGTTTTTATTCTTTCTCAAGAAATTCATTTCATGGTTGACGATGAAGTCAAGGTTTTAGTTTTCTGTAGTACAAACAAAGATGAAATGGAGTCTACGTTTTGTGTTTCTTCTGTATCAATTTTATATAATTGGATTGAAGCTCATGATTTTAGATGAATTATATATCTGATGAAATTGATTACAACCGGATGATACTGTTTATAAGTTTGTATCCTAATTTGCTAAGAATAACGAATATTGAGCATATATTTTCCTATTTGTTTCTTGATGCAAGCAGGTTCCCATTGATTTGTTTGAAGTGCCTGGTATTGGATAATGCCTTCTCTCATCTCACAGCAATGGCAGGAGAGGACTAGTGGATTCTTTTCTTCATCAGGTTTGATAATTTCTATATTATAACCTCTTTTTTGTTTCTCTCTGTTGAGTGTTTGTGGTGGAAAGCTTAGTATGGATTTACTGAATTAGGAACGAAGCTTAGGGAAGCAGGGCAGACAGCTGGTAGTTTTGTGGGCGAAGTCGCTAAGGATGCGAAAGTGAATGTTGCTGATGTTGCAGAAAGAGTTGGGTCTTTGTTCAAAAGCCGGTGGGCAATTCTTCAGCAGCCTGCAACTAGACATGCCGTGCAAGAACACCTCATAACCGCTGCTGCCACAACTGGGACTTTGGTCAGGAAGGGTATTACTGAGACAAAGGAAAAGGTTTCCGTTGGAAAGATCAAAGTGGAAGAGGTATTCTAGAAAAATAGCTTCTCGAAGTTACTCATTTCATTTTTCTAACTTCTGACAGCTAAATTCTTTGTATCCTTGTTTTCTCTTTAGGCGGCCAAAAAGACTGCACAAAAGAGCAAGACCATTTTGACGGATATCGAAAGGTGGCAGAAGGTATTTGAGTCTGAAATCTGATTTTATGCCGTTGATTTGAGTTTGGTCTCTAATATCTATTCTTTGTTAATCTGCAGGGAGTTGCCAGCTCAGATGGTAAGTTAATCACAATTTCTGGAGAGAATACAGTTTATAAACATTGGTTAATCAAAAGTTCAATGGATTCTTTGATGGAGGGTTGTGGGGATACTTAATCTTCTTATTACTCCGTTCTTGAGATAATTACTAGTGATTAGATTCTGCTCTGCTTGTTTGAAATGCTGTAACTTTCTCTATATGACACATGTTTTTTGGTGCTCAGTGTTTGGTGTTGCGATTGAGATCACTGTCCAGCGGCAGGAATCAAGCAGGCCTATTCCACTAATACTGATTAAATGCGCAGATTATCTCATTTTAACAGGTAATAATGTTTGGACCAATGGAGCATACCCTTTTATTGCTCATACCTTCTCATATCAAGTTATCAGTGTGATATTTTCCTCTTACCCAGGACTTAATTCACCGAACTTGTTCAAAGCCGAAGGAGACAAAAAGTTGATTCAACAATTGGTTTCTGCTTACAATCAAGGTAGCCAACATTCCAACATGATTTCTTTTCGACTCTTATGACTCAGGGAGAAATTGTAATTTAATTGAATCACTTGTTTGGCAGATCCTAGCGCGTCAATACCTGAGGGTGTGAATCCAGTTGATGTCGCTGCACTCATGAAATACTATCTTGCTAGCCTTCCGACACCACTAACTACTTTTGAGCTTTATAATGAAATCAAAGATGCACGGTCGAGCATACACAGAATGAGAAAGTCACTCCAGAAGCTTTCCAATGTGAACTATAATACATTGGAGTTCATAACAGCGCTATTGCTTCGTGTGAGCCAGAAATCACTTCTTAACAAGGTGGGAATTAAAGTAGTAATAAGTTATAACAGTAATCTCTGATTCTAGATCCTTAAGATGATCCAATTTTCAGGATTCAGATATGTTACCTGAATATTGAGAATCATTTGTTTGCATTTTACAGATGGATTCGCATAGCCTAGCTATGGAAATGGCTCCAGTGATCATGTGGCGAGAAGACAACAGGCCTGAATCCTATCGGGAATACTGGAGACGCCCGTCGAGGAGTCCTAAGAAAAGCAACGACTTTGAAACTGCTACTCCATGGGACTTGCTCTCAGGTAAACGCAATAACACTTGCTCCTATACTTTTTACCAATGAAGCAAAGTTCCATTACAGTAAGTCTTATCTTTCATTATTAACAGATGAAGGAGAAGGTCCAGATGCATCTTCATCAATCCCTCTAGATGATATCGTACAAGTTGATTTTGGAGCGGTCGAGGTTGTGCAGTGCCTAATTGAACATCACAATGCGATTTTCACGGATGCAGCCGAGACTGTATGGAGGTGAAACTACCACAGGCAGCTAACCAATCTTTCTCCTCTCAATGATTTCTCGATTCCCGGACCGAACCAGAAGAAGATAACCGTAACCGTTACAAGAACATATGCATTTTGATCTGGATGATGATTGACTAGTGGTTTCAGTAAATAAGCTTTTGTGTCATATTGGTTTTTCTGTAACAATTTTTTAGACTTTAGAAGTCTGATGATTCAAAGATATTTCCTCCTTATAAGAAGATCAAGATTCAAGGATTTGGATTGTTTCCTCATCATAAAAGCAATGACCGCAATTCGTTAAAACTTTGTCCAATCGGTTAATCGAAATGAAACCAAACCGATTAAAACCGAACCGTATTGACTCATGAGCAGACGAATTTGACCTTGAGAGTCAAACAGAGCAGTCGCAGACATACAAAACAACAATTCTGTAGCTTCTTTTCTTGAGCTCACGGCCATGGCGAGAAGCGATCTTTTGATTTTTGTTTCTACTCTTCTTCTGTTTCTGCCTCTACTTACGGTAAGCGCTCTAATTTTTATATATCTTTCTCTGAAAATCTCTCAAGTCAAATGGAACTGGGAAAGAAAAATCGGATCCTTAAGAGGTGGCTGAAACCGTCTGACTAAAAATCGTTTTGGTCCAGATATCTCTCTGAATTTGCCAAATTTTTGAGTGCTTTATGTTTCATACTATGCTCAAATGTCAAATCATTAAAATTCGGATTTAAACCTGATTAGGGACTTGGCAATTCTCATAGCACAAACTACGAATGGTTTGGTTTCAGGTAGCTGATGCGGAATTGGTGAAATCTGAAAAGTTTCCTGTAGTGGTGAGTACTTGGCCTTTCCTTGAGGCCGTTAGAGCTGCTTGGAGAGCAGTTGATACTGGGAGTTCTGCAGTAGAAGCTGTTGTGGAAGGTTGTTCTGCTTGCGAGGAACTTCGTTGTGACGGTACAGGTGGGCTATCGTCTTCTTTTTTGGTCCTATATCCTTTGAATTTACTTCTCTAATGTTACTTTCTGAAAATGAGAATTTTCTTTGTTGGTATTGATAGTTGGGCCTGGAGGAAGTCCGAATGAGAATGGTGAGACCATGATTGATGCTTTAGTCATGGATGGGGTAATAAATCATCAGTACTATCCGTTTTACGAGCCCTTTTTGCATTAAGATCTTGAAGAATGACTCTCTTTATTTGGGTTATTCTAAGGACATTCTTAGGTAACTATGGAGGTTGGAGCGGTTGCTGCAATGCGGTATGTTAAAGACGGTATAAGAGCTGCACATCTAGTGATGAAATACTCTCAACACACATTGCTCGCCGGAGAAGGAGCATCAGCATTTGCAATCTCCATGGGTCTCCCCGGACCCATGAACCTAAGCTCCCCTGAATCTGTAAAGAAGTGGTCGGACTGGAAAGAGAATCAATGTCAACCCAATTTCAGGAAGAATGTAGTCCCTGCAAATGACTGTGGACCTTACAAGCCAAACAATGGTGCTATCAATGTTTCTGGATACAAAGGCACTGAATCTTGCGAGATGGGGGCGATTGAGTATAGACCTCCTCTTGTTGGTCCTCACAATCACGATACCATATCGATGGCTGTCATTGACAAAGTAAGATGAGTTTCAGTTATATTCTCTATACATTTTTGTTGCCAGGACGAGAGAAACTGATTGTGCCATTTCAATAGATGGGGCATATAGCTGTTGGGACATCGACCAATGGAGCCACATATAAAATTCCTGGAAGGTAATTCCATCAAAACCGAGCATTATTCCTGACCTAAACCGAACCTATCTATCTCACCTGCCTCCTGATTGTTCAAAATGTGCAAGGAATATGCTCAAAATGGATTTCATGTGTTATATCAATATAGCTTACTTAATCTATATTTCATGAAAAAATATAAAGAACTTCAAACCTTGATTGTTAAACACAGGGTTGGTGATGGGCCTATCGTCGGTTCATCAGCCTACGCTGATGATGAAGTCGGTGGATGTGGTGCAACTGGAGATGGTGACACCATGATGCGCTTCCTCCCTTGGTAATTACCCAATCTCCTTGAGTAGTTTTATATTTTATTTCTATCTCAATGCATTCTAATGACCAAGACAGGTTTTTCTCAGTGTTTTGTGATAGTTACTAATGAATCTTGTCTTATTCTTGTGGCGCTAAAATTGAATATTGAGCATCTAAAAGTGAAAGGGTATGTTTTATCATGTGTTAAATAAAGCAAACTTCTTCTTCTTCTTCTTGGTTGAGGTTTAAGTTACCAAGTTGTGGAGAGCATGAGACAAGGAATGAAACCAGAAGAAGCTGCTAAAGACGCAATCTCGAGAATCGCAAGGAAGTTTCCAGATTTCGTGGGAGCCGTTGTGGCTGTTGACAAGAACGGGTCTCACTCAGGAGCTTGCCATGGCTGGACGTTTCAGTACTCAGTCCAGAACCCTGACATGGACGATGTTCAAGTCTTCACAGTGCTTCCATGAAACCAGTAAATTAACTACTACTAATCTTATTGAATTGTAGAATTAGTAGTCTATTTTGTTGGTATAAAATACACCACTACTTAATCTTATCGAGTGAGTTTCTTGAAACTATGGGTCATGGATCATAGGATTGAAGGTTTCTAAAAGTGATTGTAGTAACAACAAAGAAACGGCACGAAGTTCATGTCTGGAAATATGGAATGGCAAGCTCGTTTGGAAAATTTTGTTTTCGCTTTAATATATATATATATATAAAAGATTTTCTGATTTGTCTGAATCGATCAGACAAAGAGAGTAAGGAATTTTGTTTTTCTCTAAACAACAAAAACATATGAACATAGTTGACTTTCTGTAATTAGTGATTGAATATAACATTTTTTTGTGGAAACACGAGCACATAAAAATTAGAAGATTCCTCGGTATATCCTTGACGATTCTATATCTAGCTATTTAATTAACTTATGTTTTAATTATCATAAAGTTTAGTAAGAAAATTGTAAAAAAGAGAAGACGTGACATAAACGAGGAGAAAGTCATGCATCCAACTAAGTCCTAAGATTAGACATCTTATAATTTCAAGCTTGATCTTTAATATCTAAATCCACAAACTCAAATAAAATTAATAACCTGTATATCCATGAATTATGCACTCATATGTATTAACTCCGGTGAATCGGAGAAGAAGAACACGAGCAAAGAAGAATCGGAGTCAAAGAGAATCTTTATTCAACAGTCTAAAAACAGAGTTTGTTACAAAACTTGTTGAAAATAAAAATGTAATCTTAAGCTTATATATACAACTTAATAATCGACATTAAACCAATACCAAGTTAACCAGAGTTAACCGGATCAAACCATCTCCAATACACCCCCCTCAAGTCTTTATCTTCTAAGTGTCTGGTTTGGAAGATATAGACTTGACAGAGACATTTTCTTGATCAAACCATGGAATGGTCCTGGATGAAGAGGCTTGGTTAGAATATCTGCAAGTTGATTGCCAGTAGGAACATGTAATGTCTTCAGTTTTCCAGCTTTAATTTGATCCCTCACTGTATGACAATCGATCTCTATATGTTTGGTACGCTCATGGAACACTGGATTCATTGCCAAATGAAGAGCCGATTTGTTGTCGCAGAACAACTTTGCAGGACAAGTAACCGAGATATGTAAGTCCTTCAATAATTGCTGCAACCAAATAAGCTCACAAGTAGCCTGTGCAAGACTCCTGTACTCTGCTTCAGTACTGCTTCTACTAACCACATTCTGTTTCTTTGATTTCCAAGAAATCAGTGAATTACCAAGATAAACACAGAATCCTGTCACAGATCTTCTACTATCTTTGCATGTTCCCCAGTCAGCATCAGCAAAACCATTCAAACACAATTCATTATCTGCAGGATACATCAATCCTTGACCAGGATTAGCCTTTATGTATCGTAACACTTTATACGCAGCTTGAAGATGAATATCCGTTGGTGCTGAAAGAAACTGACTCAGAGAGTTCACTGCATATGTAATATCTGGTCTGGTGATGCATAAATACAGAAGACGTCCAATAACACCTTTGTATATAGTAGGATTTGGTAACAAAGTACCCATCTCTTTAGTTAGATGCAGAGTTGGATCCATTGGTACTGAACTTGGTTTACAATCAAGTAATCCTGCATCCTCCAAGAGATTCTGAGCATACTTTCTTTGACACAGTGAGATTCCTTCAGAAGACCTAGCTATTTCCAATCCTAAAAAGAATCTAGCAGGTCCTAAATCTTTAATTTTGAACTCTGATCTCAAAAGCTCTTTTAACTGTTCAACAGCCTTGTCATTGTTACTGGCAATCATTAAGTCATCAACATAGACTAGCACAGCAACAAAACTATCTGAAGTCATTCTCACAAACATAGTATTATCCGCAGGTGATTGTACATAGTTTGCTCCCAACAGAACTGAAGAAAACCTCTTATACCATTGTCTAGATGCTTGTTTAAGGCCATAAAGAGATTTCAAAAGACGACATACCGGTTGAGAAGGCAAAACAGTATCTGTTGGTGGTGTATATCCTTGAGGCAAGCGCATATAAATTTCCTCATCAAGTTCACCATGCAAGAATGCATTAGATACATCCATCTGTGTCAAACTCCACCCTTTTGCAGCTGCAAGTCCAAGTAATAACTTCACACTAGCAAGCTTTGCAACAGGTGAGAAAGTATCCATATAGTCAATACCTTCTTGTTGAGTAAAACCCTGAGCAACTAACCTTGCTTTATACCTTTCCACACTTCCATCTGGGTTATATTTTATTGTGAATACCCATTTACAACCCACAACATTCTTACCCTCAGGTAAAGATTCCACAACCCAAGTCTTATTAAGTTCAAGAGCCTGAAGCTCCTCATTTGCTGCTTTAGTCCATTTTTCTGATTTCATAGCTTGTGCAAAGGTCTTAGGCTCAGTCTCTAGATTATAAGCACATATGTATGAATTGAAAAGAGGAGTAAGCTTATCATATGAAATAGTAGTGGTAATAGGATGTGGAGTGGTTCTTTTAAGTGGTATGGAAGAAGAAGAAGTAGATAGGATATGATTATTTTGTGTAATGGTATTTAATGTGGAAGAAGTATCAGGTGGTAAAAAAGAAATAGAAGGAACAAGGGAACAATGATACTCAGATAAGTATACGGGAGCTTTAGTAACCCGTTTAGGCCTAGCAATAGGTACAGAAGAGATATCCGTATCTGGTGTAGCTGCATTTTGTTCATTATTATCAGTACTAGGTGCTATATGTGCAGATGATGCAGATGATGATGATGTATCTTCTGGTAATGCAGCATCTAATGGAAATGTTTCAACAAAATGCAATGGAGCAGGCATAGGCAAAATGCTATTAGGAAACATATCTACTGATTTTGAAAGTAACTCACTGGTTTTGAAAGGAAACTGAGTTTCATGAAAAATCACATTTCTAGAAATCAAAACAGCATGAGATTCTAAATCCAAGACTTTATATCCTTTAAAACCAGAAGGATATCCAAGAAAAACACATGGTTTGGCTCTTGGAGAAAACTTGTTTCTTTCATGATTATTAGTAGAAGTATAACAAAGACAACCAAATGTTTTTAGCAAAGTATAATCAGGTTGTTTTTCTAAAAGTAACTCATAAGGAGATTTATCTTTCAACAATGGGGAAGGTAATCTATTTATCAAATGAGCAGCTGTAAGAACACAATCACTCCAATAAGGTAAGGGTACATTTGACTGAAATAACAATGATCTAGCAACATTTAATAGATGTTGATGCTTGCGCTCAACAACAGAATTCTGTTAAGGAGTATAAGAACAAGAAAATTGATGAATCATGCCATGTTCTTTAATAATATTTGTAAAGGCTAATTCAGGAGCATTATCAGAACCAATGGCTTTAATTTTGGCATTATATTGTGTAGAAATGAGTTTCATGAACACTGGAAAAACAGTAACAACTTCACTTTTATTTCTCAGCATATAAACCCATGTAATCCGAGTACAATCATCAACAAGAGTTAAGAAATAACGAAAACCTTCTACAGACTCGACACTAAAAGGACCCCATATGTCTAAATGAACAAGATCAAAAGGATTCTTTGCTAGATTATTATTTGAAACAAATGCTAATCTTTTCTGTTTTGCTAATGGACATACTGAACAATGTAAAACATCAGGAGACACTGTTTTTAAAGAAGGAATGATACTGACAAGTTTCTTTAATGCAAGAGAAGACGGATGACCAAGTCTTTGATGCCAAATGAGACTATCAGCTACAACAGATCCAGAGAAAGAACTAGCTTTAGGTAATGATGGTGAGAGGGATATATTCTGTGTTTCAAGAATATATAAGTTGTTGTAGAGTTTACCCCTCCCAATCATCAAGCCCTGAGAAAGTTCCTGGATATAACAACAATTAGGAAAGAAATGAGCAGAACAAAGCAAAGTTTTAGCAAGACAACTAACACTAATCAAATTGAATTTAAAATCAGGTACATGCAAGACATTATATAAAATGAGTGTTGTAGTGATGCATATGGTTCCTGTGTGTGTGATAGCAACCCTAGTACCATTTGGTAAAGTTACAGTTACACCAGTCACAGGTATCAATTCTCTAAACATTGCTAAATCTGAACAGACATGACTAGAAGCACCACTATCTATTATCCAAGCATCACTTGGCAAAAAATTTTGTATAGATGAAAGAGTAAGATTTTGAAAAATGAGATTATTATTCTCATACCTAAGACTTGTGGAAGGAAAAGGAATAGTACCAGAAGTAGAAGCCTGAGCCATAAGACCATGCTCTGTGATAGTCGCAGTAGAACTAGAAGCACCAGTAGAAGTAGCTGCAGGCTCTGGAATCCTAACTTGAGTATTGAATTGTGAAATAAGATTTTGTATCTGATCTTGTGTAAGATCCTGCAAATTGAGATTATTTCCCCCACTAGTAACATGTGGCAACATAGGAATATAAGATCCAGCTTCAGAGTAAGCTGCATTTGCAGACTGCATTGCATTAGAATAAGGCACCATCTGTAACTGAGACTGAGGCATGAACATCTGAGGTTGTGTCATCTGCATTTGAGCTACAAGTGGTTGTTGCATCCGGGGTTGATAAGGTGACATTTGCATCCTTGGTTGAAACTGTTGAGGAGCATTCCTATAAGTAGTAGGAATCTTATAACCCGGAGGATAACCATGTATCTTGAAGCACTTTTGAACTGTATGCCCTGTCTTTCCACAATTAGTACAGATTGGTTTCTGAGCTGGTCTTGCAGTGTTATATGCTGCAATATATCCCATATCTCCATTCTCCATCACAGGAGCTTCAGTACCATAAGCAATCGTCTGAAAAGCCACATTGTCAACTTTAGAAGAAGGACGGATTGACTTTTGTCTTTCATCTTGTGTCACAATATTGAAAGCCTCCTCTAATGTAGGAATTGGCTTTAACATCAAAATATGACGACGAGTCTGCTCATAACTCTCATTCAAACCCATTAGAAACTTAGTAACATGACTTCGCTGCTGTAGTTTCTCCCACTTCACTGCAGCATCACATTCACATTTACCACATGTGCAAACCGGAAGATCAACATAGTTCTTATGCTCTTCCCATAAGGTTTGCAATTCTGTATAATAAGCACAAATGTCCATAGAACCTTGCTCAATCTTACTGAGTCTTTGTTCTATATCAT